TAGGTCTCAGACTGCAGTGCTACATTGTTCTAGGTAGCATGCTCCCAACCATCTCACCCACCCCATCTGTGCTTTCAATTCTGTATATGCTCAGTGAGTATATGTAAAATCACCTTTTTATTTTTCCTTAGGTCTAAAGACCAAAATTCACCAAAATCAATCACCTAGCCTTCTGAGAATTCATTAGAGGCAATTCGGTTTCCTTCAACCACTGCAAGTACCTGTTGCAATGACTTGTGCTTGAAAGTGAAAATATGTTTTAAATGACTAAATGTAATGTTGGCTTTACGTTATTCACAGATTGTAACAGGTAACAGCCATTAATGGCCCTCACTTAAAATACCATGACTTACACAATGATTGACTTCATCCAGATTCAGATTCCAGATCTCGTTATGCCCTTACCTGCAAGGTTGAAGAACATTTTCCTACTGAACATCTTTTGTCATGAGAGCATACACACATATGTACCCACTATGGTCAGATTTAATCTTATCATTTTACCCAGTTCTATAGACTGAAGTGGAAGCCAAACACCATTATTGTCAATGCCTTTGACTTAAAATACTAAAAACATTAATATTAAAAATATATGTATCCAGATTTTGAGTGTTTTTGAGATACTTAAAGACTATCCACATTACTGTGGATACTTCACAAAAAATCCTGAGATGGCTTTAGAGGAAAGCAGAGAAAACACCTACCAGTTTGGGAAATCCAAACATCTTCTTGCCCAGATCTACAGTGTTTTTAGATCATTCTACAATTCATTGCAGCTAATCTGATCTACAGTCAGCTAGATAGCTGTACATTACACCCAAGCACTCTGAATTTCCACTTGCAAAGCCCAGCATTCATTGCTTCAACATACCTCTTCACTATTGCTCCCATTCCCACTAACACACATAGGCATAAAAAGGCACATAATGCAGAGCACAACATTCTCTAAGTAGTGGTCTTTAACCCTGAAGTAACATTACAAGACTTAAATGCTGAGGGGGTTAGGGAAAAGGGGAATGTTTTGTATTGTTATTTTTTTTAGAGCACACTTCTAAATCATATTCAAGTAGCAATGGAAAATCTTAAACTGATCTGTTAGCTAAGAAAATTCCAGACACTTCATTGAGGGGAGACTATAAAGACACTGTTAATTCTCCAGTGAGACCTGTTACTCTGCAACAAGTTGATTAGTCATCTGGCAGCTGCTCAGTTTGGTCTAATCATCCACAGAATGCAACAGGCAGAAGAGCCAAAACATATCTCCTGTGCATGGCAGTCTTTCAACTCTGAAAGTTGTTTCCAGAAATAACAAGAAAATAAAATAAAATTAGACTTTGTACCAACACTATGATGGAAATTTCAAAAAAAATAAATAATAATAATAAAATAAAGGAAAGGAAAGGAAAGGAAAGGAAAAAATATGGCTGAAGATTCATTGCGCACAATTTTTCTTTCACCAAATTTGGTCAATGTTCAACTTCCGTGGGGCCCAGTGGGAAGATGGCTGCCACTGAGAAGTCAGTGCCTGAGTGTTTACCATCAGGACAGTTCTCTGCCAAGGCAATCCTGCCAAGAAAGTGAAAGTTAAACCCTACAACTGGAAGCTACAATAGAACAGTACAGCACAGTAGCTATATATGGAGAATCAGGCATGGGAATAGGGCATCCCAGTGCAGTGCACATGCTTCACTGCTCCACTGAGAGTTAGAAAGAGTCTCCTATGCATGAGCATCTGTGAAGCAATAAGTAGGAGAAAAATAATATTTTTGTCATGTTATCTTTCTCTCAAATGCATTAAAGCCTCTGTTTCCAATTTGGGAACTAATTTAAAAATATATATATTTTTTCCTATTATGCTTTATGAAGTCTACCCATAAATTTTCTGTAAGCATATTTGATGCTCTTTATGTTATTTTATTATATCCAACTTGATTTCAATATTTCAATTTCTTATATCTTAAAAAATATATTGTAAAATGCCAAGTTGCATTAACAGGAAGAAATCCAGTTAAATCTTATGTCTAACTTCTGTATTCAAAATATACTTGACTCAGAAAATTATTTATTGGAAAAGAAAATATTTGGTCTATATCTTATTTAGTGGGAACCACTCGGAAACAGAACAACTTCAAAAATGAGGCAGCCCCTATAATTAAACAAAATACATCCAGAAAATTGTCTGATGAATTTTTCACTAAGATTATACCTGCTTAGTGCAATTTAGTCAAACAAAATTGCTGGTTCTTTGACACTTTTCCAGCAAGATGTATGTGACCTTATTATTTTAGACTTTGAAAGAAATATATACAATACATGAACACATTATTGCATGTGCATGTAATAACTAATTGTGTAGGTTTACTAGTCTAGCTACCTTATTTTACTATCAGCATTGGTACAGATAGCCAAACATCACTTCTTTCACAGATCCTTGGAAGAATTAACGTAATTTGTTCTGATGCTGACCCAAGATGATAAAAAGCAATTTGCTAACAAGTGAGTCTCATGACTAGCCAGGCCGTGGTGCAATATGAGCAAGCACCACATGTCTGAAAATTCAGAGATGAAATTCCAAAGGGCAATAGACTGGTTTGCCAGAAAAGAGATGCAATTTGCTCATCAAACCAAGTTGGGCAAACCAAGCCTAACTCAGCAGGCTCCACTCAGTAAATACAGTGACTTGGACACTCAAACCAGATGCTCTTCTGTGATTGCAAATCTTAAACCATTTACATAACTTCAAAGGTAACCATCATGGCAGCAAGTGACCCTATTGATGTCAGTGGCACTATATTCTGTAATAAAGTTACAGCTTATGGAAATACACATAATCTCTAGTTCCAGGAAGAGGAATGTAGTTTTTTTATCTGTTAATAATGCATGTAGTACAAAAATGCCTTGATCATCCATTAGGGCTATGAGGCTTCTTCCAATTCATCACACAAATGATTGTTCGGGGAGGATAGCAGTAAAAGAGAACCTGTTTATGCCCAAAGACACAGTGAAAGAGTCATATCATGGAATCATAGAATGGCCTGCATTGAAAAGCACCTTAAAGATGATCTAGTTTCAACCCCCCTGCTATGTGCAGGGTGGTCAACCACCAGACCAGGTTGCCCAGAGCCACATCCAGTGTGGCCTTGAATGCCTCCAGTGATGGAGCATCCACAACCCCCATGGGCAACCTGTTCAAATGTGAGCAAAACGTGTTCTAATCTGAGCAAAAAACAGAATAAGACAAAAAGACTGAAGGACTGTCTCTAATACTCTAAATTATTTAGGATTTCTCGTCCTCCATTTATTAACAATTTCTTTTTGAAAATTGGAATGAGGTGAAAAAAAAAAAAGAAAAAAAGCAACCCAAAACAGTGACTGTAGAAAACAATTACTGGGGGGAAAAAATCACTAAAGTTAGATTACCTACCTAAATGTGATGGATATGATCCTGACTAATATTTCCTCTATTACTACTCCCTCACAGCTGTGAGAGGAATTTAAAGTTACTATTAAAAAAATCTGTAAAAAGCCTTTTCATGTGGAAAAATGCTGATAATGAATTAAATGTGCTCTCTGTGAGCACCCAAAGCATACTTCAAAATGCTGAAACTAGGATGTTCTCTGTAAGCAGCTGGTTGTTAGCTTATTGGTCTGGTTTTTCAAGCTAATGATCTGCAGGATTTTCTCACAGTTGGTACACTGTTGTTTTTTTTACTATTCAGTGTTGGGCATCAGGCATCGAGGAGGAAAAAATAAATGTAGATGTAATTATGCGTTCATTGTTTCTCATGTACTCTTTGCCACCAAAGGGTATAATGCCATCATTCAAAGCATGAGGAGGAGGTGCTGCTTACCCCTTATAGCTGACTCACAGATCCAGCCTCTAGATTTCAGGAACTTCAGGCCTCTCTGCTAAATGTTTCTAAATCCCTTTCCTTCTCTCCAGTATGGAGCTTCACTGACACTGAAACCTCTACAAAGATTTCAGCTGATTTCATTAGGCTTCTAGTCAGACCCAAATTATTTTCACTATCAAAAAAAGAAGAGATGTATAAGGAGGGTCCTAGCTACATAAGCCAGCTCTAAAAGCCAGCATGTTCCCACATTCAAATCCTTGATTAATCCTATCTATTCACTGTGCTGCAGTTCCGTGCTTAGTACATATTAGTGCAACCAGCAGTTCCTGTGCGAGAGCTGAAACATCAGGAGCAGACACGTACCCACCTTAGGAGCCCAGAAAGCCTCAGCAGCCTCTGAAGCAAAACAGGGTCACAGCAGGAGCATAGCTGCACTGAAAGTAGCTTTACTCCATTGGCTGTTCCAGCTGAGAGCATGAATAAACTACAAATACCCTAGTATGACCCTACTTCTTGTAAGAACACTGCAGTGCAGTATATCATCACCATGTTTACGATTGAATCCTGCAGCTGCAGGATGGGAGAAGACTGGGAGGTTTCTTTTAGCTTTTTTTTGGCTCTTCAGAACTGTGCTGAGTGATGGGTACAAACCTACAGCCATCCATGTCCCTTTGTGTCCCCAAGATATGCTTTTTGGGGACAGGACACGTGCACATCCACAAGCCCAAACATAGCTGTCAAACATCTGCAGTCCCAGTCTTGCAGTAGACAGCTCGTAGGAACACTGTGGGGCTCACAAAGGATTTTCGGACCCAGAAACCAGTGTTATAAATATATATTTATGAAACACCAGAGCTATAATCAAATTTATACAAGAACTAGAAAGTACAATCTAAGAACTCAGTCAGAGATATTGATGAAATACTTGAATGACTCCTGCAGCTAGCTTATGGAGTACATGAAGCTGCAGCAGGGCTTAATTTTGTGCAGGAATGCCAGCCCAATTCCTTCTACCAACCCTCTCTATGAAGAGGAGTGATCAGGCAGATCTCTTGAGAGAAGGAGACCTAACAACTCCTTATCCATATTGCCATGGAGACACCCACACAAACAGAGCACCTCCTTCTTCCACAGTCTCCAGTTGTTCCCCGCTCCAGGGCCATACAGTGAGAGACAGAGCACACCAGAAATTCAGGTAATACCCAAATTCAATCGTTACCCCTGTCCTGAAACTTCTTCTGAAGTTTAAATCAAGTCTGTGTGATCCAGCGTGCTCTTGTTATAATGTTCTCGTAACTTTTTATTTGTGCATGACCCTGCTCTTCTCCTTTCCAGCTGAGATTAACAGCAGGAAATACTGAAATGCCATATGAAGGATTCTTGGCTTTTTCTTTTTTCTTTTTTCATGTGAAATAGAAAATTCCAGACATCTCCTGAGTGAGCCTGTTTTTATAAGATTCTTAGCCCACTTTTGGATAAGCAAGCAATTATTTTCTCAAGTAAACCGTCAAGTATTTTGAGGGGCAGCCAGTTGTCCTTAACACCTAACATTCAAGTTCTCTTCCCCCTGTTTTTCCCTCTGAAATATTTTTGGGGTGGAACTATTCCAGCCTGCCTCAGCAGACGCCCTACTCCTTCCATTTCTGAGTGCTATGGAAGAGCATCTGAACCAAGCACTGTGTTTCACTCTGATGGAAAAGTTATCAGGGAGATCAAAGAGTCAAGTAGGAGAAAGTCATAATCCTACATACTTGCTGGAGTGGGATGTGCAAGAAGTTATGCAAATAAATGAGAATTGTAGGAAAGCAGTGCTTTGTTAAATACCTTCAGTAAAACGACTTAATGTGTTTTATCAAGGATTAATGTTGTAAACAGGCTATAGATACTTCTCATTATCTACAGCTCTGTTCTTGCAAAAGTGCAAGAATCTGCAGCATTACTTATCTGAAGATTCAGATGTGTCAGATGCCTCACATTGGTTGGACTCTCACCCAGAAAAGAAGCACAGGTGTTTGCTGCGACAATATTAAAATATTTTATGTACAAAATCTCTCCCCTGCAAGCAGCAATCAGCACTCTATGGTCTTTAAGAGGCTTTCTTGGGCTTGGCAACTCCTTTTTTAAACAGGCAGTTTATCTTCTGATAAGAAGCAGAAAGACTTCATTTATAGTTGTTTAATGCTATTAGAGCCCGTAGTTTCCATAACAAGATAGGAAAAACAAGCCAAGTCTTCTGCGTAGGGCTTTTCTGATCTCCAGGATATAAGAACACATTGTTGGTATCTCGGTGCATGACTCACTGGGCTGCTGATGTCACATGGAATGTGCTGTTAGGCTAGGATAAGCGATAGAGAGACTTCACTTGTACACTGACGTATCAGCAACCCATTATAAGATGGTAACCAGGAAGAAACTTACTGTAAAACATGTAAAAAATTACTGCTGGAGAGGGAAAAGAAACACACTATTTTCCATTCATAACGCAATGCTGTTAAGCTTCCAGGAGGCATGTGACCATAGCAGTGATCATGGCAAAACCAAAAGCAGGTCTGTTTTTGTCCTGCAGCCCATTTGGTTGCCAGTGGGCTCCTGGAGTAGCTGCACTAGCAGACATAAAATTCAGTTCAGCTGGTCACTGCAGAAGCAAGGTACAGAAGCAAAGAACAGCCTTTTACCAGCCTGTACCTTGTGGACTACTCATACAAGAGATAGCAAATAGAATGAGTTTGATTATACATGTGATCATTTTCCTGACCTGTACGTAGACATGTAAATGGTATCAACCTGGATAGATGAAAATAAATATCCTGTTAAGTAGGCAATAAATCTAATTCCTCTTTCGTTTGAGAAGGAAACTAAGTGTTGTCCAATATTTGTTGATTGGAACTCTGTGTATAACTTGATACATTGAAGTTTTTTTTGCGGAGAAAGAGTTGACAGTGTTTAAAGTTAAAATTCCTCTCATCATTTTCTCCTTAGTATGCTTCTACTCTTTTTCTGAATAGAACCATTCATATCATTAAAAATCAAGGCATTGCCCAGGTCTGAGTGCAGCACTTAATGAAGGTAATAGATACTGATCATTGAGGCTGGATCATGGTACATCCATCTCTGCCTTCTTACTGCAATCCCCACAGGACCAGTGCTCCTGGGGTTTCTTCAAATCAAGACATGCACATGCCCATTAGAGAACTGGACTACCAAAATGCAATGGCAATTCAGTGTCAAAGTCAGGATTTTTTCCCACGTCCAATATTTCCCTAATGACTCTTAAACTCTCCATTACAAAACCCAGATCCTGAGATTTCCAAGGACCTCTTTCTCTTAAAAGCCCTTTTCTTTGCAAGAGAAGCTGTTGGAGTGAGTCCATTCCCATATTTCCTTGGATCTCAATTTTTCTGCATATAGCTTTCTCTACAAATCTCTGTTTCACCTCCCGAAGTATAACCACCACTTAACACTATTCATTAGGAAGAATGTGAATTTTCATTTACTCAGCTCAGAATAACTGGAAATAAGCCACATGTTGTGACACCTGTGTGAGGAAGAAAAAATTAATAGAGAAACTGGACCCAAGACAACTTTATTTCCGTAAGTAGGACCAGTTGCATTCTCTGCTTTTGCCATGCAAACATTCAAACATTTGAAGTAGTGCTGTCAGTAATATTTGGAATTTGCAGTTTAAAAATAATCCATGTACTCAGGCGCATGCTAATCTTCACTTAGAAACAGCAAAGGAGCACCTGTTATAAAAGCCATCATTCATTTCCAGGTAATTCACAAAGGAAGGAGAAAATGGCTAAGCCTGACAAATATTCATTATAAATTCTTTGTACCTGGCAATCTGATGAATGGGTGGGTAAATGAATGAGCAGAATATATCATTTAGAGTCTTCCTAAGCAACGTCCTTGAATATTCATAGTTTCATGTTCACAGATCACATTCTTTTTCTTTCTTAGGTGAAAGTCTTTCCTTTTCACAACTATTCTAAATAGAAATACCTTGTAGAAAATTCACAGTTTGTGCAGATTACTTTGCAAATAATTATGAAAACATATTAAGAACATTTTGATGATGCTACAGTAACTGGGGGACCATGAGAAAGGCCTTCAGCCTGCTGCATTGTCAGTTCTTGGGGAAGCTGTATTGTGATGCTGGGATAAAACTCTTTAAGGGAGACACCAGAAAGCGCACTACTCTCTGGCTGTACAGAAGCAGCAATTAACACTGAAGCACAGGGAGGGTTATCTGGGGGCAGGGTCAAAGATTTCCCAACGAAAGCATTCTTGAATGAGCAAGCAACCATTTCCAGCCATCAGACTTACCTTCTTGCTGGTAAATAATCTTTGATCAAGGGGGAGAGGCCTGGCTGCATCTCTTGAATTAGGGTGATTTAACTCCTCTTCCTGAGACAAAAACCAGTTTTATTTTTAGTAAGTATCTTCTGTTGTTGCTGCTGTGTTCAAACCCATGCATGTGTAGTGTCACCTGCTGTCACAAGGCTTAGGCAGGCTGATGGGCATACCTAATAGTCACTAATGCTGCCTGTGTTTCCTTAATGCTCCACTGCTCTGGGAAAAAAATACCCTTCCTAGCTTCCCTTAGTGTTCCTACATTTACAGCAGGGCTCATTCAGATGCTGAATGAAAAGCAAAAAAATTAGTAGTATTAATACTGTGCTTAGTGATTTTGATGGTTTCCAGAATAGCTGCTCATGACTCAGACATCACTGACACTGGTAAGCCATTTGCACTGACAGTAGTGTCAGTGTGGAGTGCCGTGTCTTCAGCATTTTTTTGACTAGGCACATCAGTGTGCATTCCTCTTGCCTAATGAACATGAGAACACACAGGAAGCTGTGAGAGGTATTTATTTAATACTCAGAAATAATGCAAATGAGGATCAGTTTTCTATAGTGCTTTCATTGGTGAGGAAGCTCAATGCAATTTTTAAATTACCCAAACTGAGGAAACGTCATTAGGAAAAGATCTGAACGAATATCCCACAGAAGGAATTAGATTTTTTCTTTTGAAATAGTACGCAAAGTAAGCAGCAATGAATGAAGTGCAAGCTACACACACCTTGAACTGATTCCCTGAAATGGTAGTGAGAATAAATACATTGCTTATTCTCAGGACAGCTTTGTGCTACTAAATAAGGCAAATATAACAAACCAAAACAAAACCAAAAACACACCAAAAAACTTACACACAAGTCCAATATGCACTTGAAGAGGCATTTCAGTTAATGAATTGTCTGAACTCCCATTAAGGCCTCATTTCATGTGTAGAAAGGAGATGTACAAACTGGGATAGGTGCAGAGTCAGCTACTGAGTTGTCTGAAAAAAATGAAGAGTCAGTCAAACGGGAGGAGGTCATAGAAATTATTTTATCCATTTGCAGGAGGTTAAATAGCAAGTTAAGGGCTGCTGTCTGTCAGTGCCAAAAGGTAAACAGGGGACTCACAGAAGTAATCTCAGCTCATCTACAACACAAGCAAATGGGTAAAAACTGGCTGAGAAGAAAGTAATGATGTAGGGAAGCAGAGACAAGTTTTTATCACCAGAGTGATGCCCTATAGAATTAATGAAAACTGGCAGAAAACTAGTTTGGTTTTGAGCTTGAGCCATTTATTATCGTGATAAGAAAGTACTTACTGTGATAGCAGAGAACAGGATTTGAAAATGCAGGGGTTCTCCAGTAGTCTCCCTATTAAATATTTATCAAACTATACTTGCAAGGTCTAAATAGAGCATTTATAGAACATGGAGAAAATAAAGCACGCTAGTGTAGTGCTTATGAATAAGACAAGTGCTTAAATACATCCAGTTGGACTCTACTGGAAGTCAGATTTGCTACCACTCTTCTGTATTCCTGAGCTACCTATGTGCTCCCCATGGATACCCAGCATCCATTTCTACCTTTTAAAAAGTTATAAGTAAAGGGCAGAATTTTATCCATGCATCATCTATTAACTCTTTCATAAACAGTTTTCTCTGCCAAATGCTGATATTCTTATTTATGCACAATTCAAAGTTATACTGGCATTCATACATAACTGGATACATGAATATTTGAACATAGCCAAGGATTTGACAAAATCATCTGGTGAAGACCAAAAAAAGCACATGGCAATGTTTGGTGACAATTTTCCAACAATTATTTTGCATGTTCTTTCCCACTTCTTCCAGAAC